CAAATACCAACCGAATTGAATGAAACCAGGCTTGAAAGCAAGGACTTGACCTGTAAGTGGGTAGGAAAAAATTGATTTATGTTATCCATTTTGTGATGATTGTGTTTGACCTAGTCAATCCAGATTACAATGCTTTAAAAAGTGAAGGTTTCTCATTTCTATTCCAGAAAAATATAGTTTTTTGGTGTTAAAACCTTTCTCATTTCCTTTGAGGGGCTTCAGATAAAGGGGATTTGCCTGCCAAATTGGGATTTCATGGCACAGGGATACTCTTTATTTGAAAGATAACTTGGGATTCTTGGAGTACGAAGTACCACGGAAGAGTATACTTATAATTACTGAATTCCTGAATCCTTAGTTTCAGGTAGAAACCCACTTCATGTACTCATATGGAGCTTCTCCCTGTTGGTGAGAGCCTTGCTGAATTCTGCAAAGATTCTAAGAATTTAGTCCTTGAAGGTATGCCATTCTTCTCTGCTGGTACCTAATAGAAGTGGAAGCTGAAACATCTCCAGACAGTTAAACACTCAACATTTTCTTCTTTTATCCTTTTGTTTGTTTCAATCTGTTTCTTACAATCTTTTTGATGCTGACGTGAAAGATTTTTGGAGACAAGACTATCTCTGCTTTTGTGTCTCTGGAGGTGGGCAGATCACTGCTCAATGCTGCTATGGAATGATTCCCAGCAGCTCCAGGTCTCATACAGTTCTGTAAACATAAATGGAGAGGTAACTTTCCAAGATTTACCCAAAATAAAGATACACAGTAAAACGTGACACACAAAGCAAAATGCGTGATATATGGCTTGCTTTCTTTTGATCCCTTTTATTCTGTAGATAGCACATGCCAATTTTAACTGAAATAGTTCCACTGAGATCCAGTTTATTAGCTCTATTAATCTTTATGTTTTATGGATGGAAACCTCCCTTCTTGCCCTTTGCTGCAGAAGTCCATGTTCTGAGTTTCCAAAATATAATGGGAGCCTATTCAGACATCAGGGTACTGGTAACTTGAATATGTTGGTGGTGGGAATTCTGGACACATCACTCAAAGTAAATTATTAATTATGAATAATAATATTTATTTTTATTAATTGTGGGTATAGAATTATTCTGGACCCTCTCCATTGTTTTAATGTTTTAGGCAATGCTCCATGGCACTTTGACCAACATTTAGAAAAATGACCCGTACCTCAGAGCAAATAAATTTTTATGGAATGGAAGTGCAGGGTACAACTGAATAAGCTAGTTGCAATGGAAATGGAGTCTTTCAAAACACTGGAAAAGTTAGGCACTTGCAATAGCATGTGGTCTAATTTCCTGAACCTGTGAGAAAGGACATGAGTTATTATATAGCTTACTGCTTAACATATGTTTGCTTCCTCATGTATGTAGGCAGCAAGGGTGGAATATGTGCATGAGTCAAGTCCAGCATGTCTCAAACTGTCTCTTACCTACTCAAAACCAAAAGCAGACATTGTGAATGACAAAAAGGCATGCTAAGAAGGGAGCCAGAGCAACTTAGAGCACTCTAGATGATTTTAGGCTGAACTGGACTAGAAAAAAGTTGCTTTTCTTAATAGATGCTTTTGTCATTGTGCAATAGCTTTTAGTTTGCTAAAAATGTATTGTCCAAATATTTGGAGGTTATATATTTTTATAATCTGAACCAAAATGATCAATTTTGTGTAAGAACCATATTCATCTGCTCCTCTGACAGCAGTCTTTCCCCAATTTTTCTGCATTCTTTTCACAACATTACCTAATAATTGAAGCTTACTGAAGCTTGAAGTAGAGGTGGGAACAGAGTGTGCAGTGCTTATTTATTTATTATTTGTTTATTTTAAGAAAGAAGCATATCCCTAAGTTTAAAACTGGGAGGAATCTTGGCTTCTTTGGGGCTGCATCAAGATGGGATCCTGCAAACAGTTTTGTTTGCCATCTAGGAAATATAGAGTATTCACAATTCATATTCAATTTCCTGCCTATACAAGAATGGATTCTGGATTTCAGAGCCTGATGGTGGGGTGACATTGAATACAAGATTGTGTGGCACTTTATAGAACTTTTCCTTTATTAACTGCTCTATAATCACATTAAGTTAGACTGAAAATTTGAACTAATTCTTTCCCTTGAGGCCCAGGCTTTAATAATGGTAAAAATCTGTGAAATAGGATAAATACAATTCAATAATTATATTGATAAATAAAATGAAAATCACCTAATTGTGTCATTCACTCAGTTGCCTGCCCCCGTTGTTGCTGCCTTTCTGCATCAGCGACTGCTAAACTTTTTCTGTCACACTTCAATAAATTTAATTGTACAGAATAAATGAGCTAATTTTTGCAGTCACAGGCTCTGTTTGCAAGATAAGGTTGGTGATTTATTGACCTCCTCTAACTCTGTAAGATTGTCACCCTTCTTTTCACTCTGACAACCATAGGTGGGTTTTGTGTCCCTCTTCAGCCACAACACTGCTAAATCCTACTTTGAGTATTTACCTTCCCATCTCATTTTCTTGAAGTCACATGATATGGTACAATAGACCAAAGATCCCTGTTCCAGTTGGTGGCTACTCAGACTATTCCAAGTCATTAGGAAAGCTGTGGGGTTAGTAACTTTCTTTTTAATGCTGTTTTCTTCTGATGATCGTCTCATTTGTTTTTCAAAAGGGTGGCTGTTGAGAGGAGGTACAAGAAAAGGGACAAAGATGAAAACCCATTTTCCCTAGAGGCTCTGGTCTGTTTCTCATTCAAGAATCGTGTGTTTATCCACCTTAAGAGGACGTGCATTCATTTCAGTGTTCATTCACAATGATCATTTGACCCTGAACACAAGCAGATATTAGGCATTAGACATGCCTTATGAAAATATGCCTTATTTCTTGCTTTTTAACTTTTGTTTCACAGAATCATAGAATGACTGGGTTTGGAAGGGGCCATAAAGATCATCTGATTTCATTCCCCTGCTGTGGGCAAGCTCGCCACCCAATAGATCAGGCTACTCAGGGCCCCATCCTGAGCCCTTTTATATGGGGCATAAAAAAACAAAGGGTTAATTACATATTGTAGCACAGCACTCTCTTCAGTTGTCATCCTGTAGCAGTATGATCTCTGCTTAAAAAAATATTGGTATTGTATCAATAAAACTCTTCAGAGAAAAGTGAAAACAGCATGAACACATCAACTGTTTCCAAAAAAATGTACTTGAAGTTATACTTCCCGAGTCTGACAAATAAATCCTGTTAATGAGAAGGATGGCAGCACTTTTTCTATATCATTAAATGACTACCTGTTGAGGTGTGTGGGTCTATGCAAAGCAAACATTTTTTCATCTCAGGGTACACTGTATCCGTTGTTCAGAGTGTGATTAAATCTGCTCTTCTCTGACAGATGCTAGGCAACACAGCCAGTCAAAAAAATATGAAAGCCAGCTAGTTTTCAGTAAACTTCCCTCAGAGAAGTGAGCAGCAAAAGACTTCATGGAGCCAGGATTTCAGTTGGTCATCTAGAACACAAACTGCGAAAGCCTTTTTCTCGTGTTCTGGTTGTTATATTGGACTTGTCTCTGCTGTAATTTTCTTCTAAAGAAGACTTACATCCTCCTAAATATTTCCTGTCAGGTGTTGGCTAGGAGAACTGTATCCCAGGGAATTGTAGATGCAGGAATCACAACATCCCGTGTACAGAGCAGTCCCTATTTCTGCCAAACTCTTTGCAGTGTTCTTAACTCAAACCATTTGTACTCTTTGTGACTGAAACTTGTAGCAAAAGGCAGACTAGCTCAGGAAAATCGTCTGCCACCTGGCTCTCCCTTCCTTCAAACAAAAACTTATAATGACTTTATCAGCCTGCCCTGGGAGCTCCACAACACAGCCTCTGCGTGAGATACCAACTGTTAGTTCTCACCATCCTCACCATGTATTTGGTGTTTGTGCCCTGGTTGCAATGGTTCATTTAATTTAAACTACCTCAGGTGCCTGTGAATCTAACATGAACAATATATATATATATACATATATATATATATTTTTTTTTTTCTGAAGGGAATGAAATGAAATTAAATCTGAGTCAAAGATGTTATTTGGGGAAGAAATCTTTGCCAACTTTGCCAACTTTGCCAACAAGCAGGATAAAATTCTGCAAGCATGTAATGTTTTATTGGGTTGTACTTTGTGAAGTACTTCAGAGAAAGATTTCCAGTTCATACAACACTTCCCAAACATGGATTGATGTTGTGCTCTGTGGTCATGATCATTTTTCTACTTGCCAAGCAAGTTCCAATTGTTCTGTAGATTCCTTGTGCAGGGAACTAGAAGATAACATTTGTACTAAATGGACATGTGGGAGGTACACAACACTTCTGAAAATGCTAAGTATGATCCAGATCAACATTTTTTTTTTTTAAATGATGGCTTCCCTTGAAAGACTGTATATTTCCTATTACATAGGAAATCAGAAAATGCACACAGTAAAAGAAACGCTCATTTTCCACATTACAATTTTTTCTGATGTGGCTGTATGGGAACTGCTGAGCCACGGCCTGAACCTCTGATTGACCACCTGAGGCGAGCACTGAGTCAGCCACAGGAGCACAGGTGAAGGCAATTCACCTGTACTGCCAGAAGGGGTGGATTCTGGCTACAGCTCTCCTAGACCTATTTAAGAGCTGGCTGCCAGTGGGGAAGGGTCTCTGCTGGAGATCTGCTCTGCTGGAGTTTTGTGAGTGAGCCCAGGATAGGGGTAAGCTTTCTATCTATTCTCTTTTTGTTACTGTAATCTGCTTTGCCAAACTCTCTTGTTTATTTTGTAATTATGACATCTTAATATTCATTGATTATACAGTGGCTCTCACCAGTTCTTAAATTCTAAGTACAGGAAGAGAGCATATTTTCTAATTAATCCAAATTGTACACATTCATTGTGCTCTGTACACTATAATGTAATTCTGCCCTTCTTTATATATATATATATATATATATATGTTCGTTATGTGTATAACTGACACTTGGTCTGATCTGGAACTGACTTGGCCAAATACCACCTGTCTGTCACTTTAAGTCTAATCTATGTACCAACTGAAGGGTACAAGCTCTGGTGAAATATGCAGTCTGTAGATGAAGCTGAAGTTGGGCAAATAATGGCTTTTTGTGAAAGAAAGCCTATTTTTTTCCAGGTCTGAACGTAGAGGCTGAACTACCTAGGCATGGAGATAAATCAGGACAGAGTACACAGAGGGCCTACATATAATCTGGTAGAAATTAGGTAATTTTCTGAAATACCAGGCTTTTGGTTCATTCTGCTGAAGAAATAGAAGCCAATCCCCTTACTAGGGCAATGCATGGCTAAGGCCACGGCTAAGGTTTGAGATCTTCCCATGTTCAACTTCAAAACTGTGCACTGAAGCCCAAGTGAAAACAAATGGATTTCACTTGGGCAGAGGAGCCATTCTCTGCCCATGCTTCACTTGGGTTTCTATATTGCTAGACCTCATCCAGTCTCCAGGACAGATCTAATATAATTGTATCAGAGCATGCCCCCAGCTCACAAAATGCATTTACTGCAAGGCAGTTGTTTCCAGTTGGGGTTTTTATTTTATTTCGGTTGTAGTTTTGAAACTGACTTGGAACTTTTTATATAACGTCAGCCACCGTGCAGATTTATGCATTGTACCATAATTACTTAAATAAGGGATTTTGTATACTACAGCCAGTGATTCATAAACTGCAGGGTATCTGCAAAAACAGGCTTTCATTGGGATTATGGGATGTAAAATGCCTGAAGGTTTTTGCCTTTGATAGCAGAGCTGCCATTGCATCCACACAGGGTTTGTCTAATAAATTGTGTTAGTGCTTTCCAGCATCCTGATAGCTTCCCTCCACAAACCTTTGCTATTCTGAAGTTTTTTGAAAGGAAAACTGGTTCTCTGAATTATTGCTGTGGCAATCACTAAAGCGTGTGTTCAGCATGCTTGGTGTTGATCATGTAGTGCAACAGAGAAGAAAGCTGAAAAGGTTCTTTGAGAAGGACTTAATATTGCCATATTTGCAACAACATAATATAAACTACAAGGAAGTTGTGGAAGGTGTGGGGAAAAGACTCCAGTTGGATGTTCTCACTGTCTTCAAGGCAATTAAGTCACTTGGCTTATTTCAATTCAGGATTATGTGGCTAAACCTCCCTGCTTTTGGAAATAGTCTCAGTGACTGAAAAAAATGGAGGTGCTGATTGGTTTAAGGTATTTTCTAACTTGACGTGTCAAATAATTTTAAGTCTGTGAAAAGGAAGAGGACATGCTAATGCCATGATGTTCATACCTGTGTGTCCAACTGGTGTGTTAGACCAGGAATCCTACTATTTCCTTCTGAGAGATTCAGCTAGAACTAAGCAAGAGGAATCAAAAATATCTGATATTGGTTGTCAGTGTGATAAAATAATCAAGTAAATAAATAAAATGAAAATCAACCAACCCTAATTCATTTAGAGGATAGCCAGCTTCTCTCCTTGCTGACTTTTCTGTCAGCCCATTTATGAACGTCTGCAACTTTTGTGCCGTGAAGACAAAAACAAACTTGCTTGTGAGCTTCATTTATGACAGGCACAGTATTTCAGACATGTTGACACTTGTTTTTATGTTGGGATCCACATGGCTGCATTTTATTTCTACAGGTTGGGAAAGATCCTGTTCTTATTCATATTTTTCTCAGATCTAGAGCTGTATAGATAAAAACAAAAACAACAAAAACAAAAGAATGCTGTTACAAACTGTCTGCCCTCTGAAGTCATTACAGCTCAGGTGAAGATTGATCAGTGAATAACAAGTACAAGTGAGGGTTAGTAAAATTACAGTGCGTGTTTTGTGCTCATCAGATTCTTTTGTTCCTGTGCATTAGGCATCACGTCAGCCATTAGGAACAAGAAAATCCAAAGCCTCCTTATCTCCACTCTTATTCACTTCTGACTGCACCAGCCTTGAGCTGCCTGGTGTGCAGCAAGTTGCTCTCTGTTTTAAATGCTTGCTAAAAATCGGAGGGCAGCAAGCAGGACGTATCTGTGTATATGGTGTTACTGAATAGCACAGACAGAGCGATATGTTTCTGGCTGAAATGCTTTGCTCAGCAGAGGTCTTTTAGGGTTAGGTGCTTTGTAAGGGTTTGCTTTTGTTTTTAAAACCCCGCATGCTTCCACTCTGGCTATTCTTAGCTCTCTTTTACAGTGCTCAGCCATGCAGAGCGATCCCAAACAGGGCACCAAGGGACACTCAGCCCCACAAAGCTGCAGGTGGAGCAGAACTCACTGATGCTGCTTTCCATATGTTCCTTCCCATGGGGGCCTGACTGGACCTCGACCTGAGGAGGAAGCAGAATGGAAACTTAATGGAGAAGCGAGTCCCACCCCTCAGGTATATGAGGTTGCCAGGCTCTTTTGTTCTGGTTCTCTCTGGTTTTAGCATGTTTCTGTCTGTGAGGGGATACTAAAAGGGCACTGCATTCTTCCCTTGCTCTGCCTAAGCCCACGACAGCGTCTCCAAGTCCTCAACCTTAATTTGCAGCATTCAAAAGAGCCTTCCCCTCTTTCCTCTTCTTAATTTCTTTTTTCTTTTTAAGTCAATTCACATAGATTAATCATTTCATAAATGTTTTGGGGTGGGATTGTGAAACCTTTACTGGCAAGAATTTTTCCCCTGGAGTCAAGGAGACTACTCATTAGCATGACTACTTGCCAGCATGAGGGAGGGATTCGCAATCTGGACATTTTAGTTTTAAAAATATGTCTCTATTTGGCTGATTTGGGCAGCTGAGCAGGGCTGGTTATGGAAATCAAACTAACAGGCTGTCACACTCTGTTTTACTTCAGAAAACATCTATAGTGAAATAATGTATTTTTACATAACACACACACATTTAAACAGTACTATGGTAATCTGATCGGTGTCTTCATTCTGATGAGCATTCTCTGAGACCCTTTCATCACAAACCAAACCCTATGTCGTTAAATCTGCTCTCTATACACCTCTTAGACTACACACAGTCTAAAAATGTGTATGGGTCACTACTGACAAGAAAGCCGTCATGTGCTGAGTACACAAACCTGTCAGAAGCAGTTAGTGCTTGCAGAACACCTGGGCTTGAACCAGGTGAGTGCAGGGTTTAGTGGCTGAGAAGCTGTGTAAGGTTGTGTCTGCAGGCCATGAATGTTGCATGGCTATAGCTCTTGTTGTGCTTGCACGATACAGAACTCTGAGGAAAGAAGCCAGGCTTCTTTCCTTGTAAAACCCTTGTGTTTTACAAGGGCTGCTCTGAAAGTAATGAATCCTATTTTGTTATGTTGGCCCATGACATCAGAAGAGGATATTGATGGTATGACCATAGGGGCTGAACCCTCCCACCACCTCCCTCCATTGCATTTTGTTGTCGTGTGACAGATGGTAGCAGAGGGGCAGTCTGACAGAATAGTGTCTGGCATGGAAGCATGTTATGAAGCAAAGGTGTGTCATTGAATTCCCCCATGTGGAAAAAATGGCACTCACTGACAGTCATCAACACTTGCTGAATGTTTCTGGAGACCAAACAGTGGATGTGAGCACAGTGAGGTGATGGGTGGAGTGTTTCAGCAGTGGTGACAACAACAATGGGGCACCTCTGCTGGTGCAGATTTTTACAAGCATAGCATGAAGGCTCTCATTCAGTGCTGGTGAAAATGCATAGCTAAAGGTAGTAACTATGTTGAAAACTAGTGTTCTATAGCTGAGAACGTACTCTATCGAATTGTGCTCTTTGTATCTTTTGTAGTTACCATGGAAATAAACAAGAGGCATTACTATTAGAGCGATTTCCCTACCCTGAACTGGTCACTTTCCCTCTGTTTAAGGACAAGCGAAACGATTCTGCTGCTGCTCTGAGTGGCTAACAGCAGTGGTGACCTTCAGGCTCGCCACTTTAAAGTGCCTTGGGGTGATCCCAGTGAAAAAGCAAAACAACATTATCTTTCCCCTGTGCTCCTCCACCTCATTCCAAGGCATTTGCTTCTGCCCTGCATGCAGCCTGGATATTTGGCCTGGGAGCTGGGCTGCTGAAGCTCAGGAGTTTCCCTCCTCTGTGTCTCTCTCCACCTTGCACAAAGCTGACAGGGAGATTTTTCACCTCCTTACTTTCCTTTTTCCTCTTTGATTAACTTTGGACCAGATGGCCAGTCCCCAAACTCTCAGCATGCATTTGACTGACAGGAGCCTTTGATAAACCTCATAAGAATGAAGTCATCTTCAGGTCACCTCCTCTGCCTGGCCTTTAGCATCCCGCACATACCACCATTATCTGCTGAATAGGAGACAAAGGAAATTAGCTCCAATTCCCTATCATCCCCATTATTTCCACACTGATTTAAACAATGAAGCAATGAGATGCCCTTCACTTTCCTCAGAAAGGTACAAATGTCAGCTGTTAAGAAATGCAAACAAGAGGGTTCCCATGTTAATGGATGGGCTTCTTTGTAAAGCCATGAAGTGGTAAAGTGGATTTATTCACTGCCTGCCTGCTTAACATACTTCTAAACAAATTCTTTAACCACTTTTATTTTATACACAGTACAGAGTGCTTGAGAAGCCGCATTGTTTTGGTCTGGAGATTTATAATGATGTTATATACCACACTCTGCTGTGTTGGGTTTTTTACATATGCAGTTGTCAGAGCTTCGTTTGGGCTCTGATACATACAAAAAGGTTTAGCTGCATAGAACCCAAATACTGAGATGTAGGAAAACCACCTCCAGGTTCAACTAAGAAAACAGATTTGGAAGTGCTGGACTGAGGAAGGGAGCATGAATCAGAACAGAATCTCTCCAGAGATTTGTAAGTAGCTACATCATGTCCATTTGGCTATGAAAGAGAAACAACAACATGCTTCGAAAAGTGTTGCCCTAGGAGTATTTTAGGCCAGGCAAGATAGAAAATAGCTTTAAAATCACATAGATGACTCTGAAAGTAATGCCTGCTATTTATTTATATGGAAATTGCGACAGATAGAAAGAGTACAATAACAGTGTAATAGAGCAAATTCTCAGTTACAAAACACTGTTTTTCAGTATAGTCACCACCACTAGCTGTGAATTTTTGCTAGCAGTGAACAAGAACCTGCATGCCATACTTGTAAAAAAAAAAAAAAAAAAATCTGCACCAGCTGAGGTGACCCATTGTTTCACAGTTGCTGTGATGGTGGTGTTGCTAGGAAAATGTTGCCCATGTACTCCATCTTTCATCGACCTGAACAGATGGAAGTCAGAAGGTGCCAGATTGACACTATGTGGTAGGTGTGGTAGAACAGTCCAGCCAAGATTGGTGATGTGCTCCACAGTCCTCAAACTGGTGTGAGGCCTGGTGTTATCTCTTTGCAAGAGAAAGGCCATCTTTTTTTCTGTAGCTGGAGTCTAGAAGTTTGCACCTTCAGCAGTCAGCATTGTGATGCAGTGGTCAGAGATGATGGTTTATAAGGATTTCTTGAAAACTAGAAGGATCATCCCTTTCCTATCCCAAAAAGCAGTGCACATCACTTCACTTGTTGAGAGCTGCATCTTGAACTTTTTATTTGATGGGGAATTCACTCCATGAACTGCTGTTTTGCTCTAGCTTGTAGTGGTGGCATTACTCCCCATAACTGGTAATGATGCGATCCAGGAAACTGTCAGCTTCAGCTTTGCGTTGGATCAGTAGGTCCGGATAAACTTGCATGTGGTGTTCTTTCAGTTCCTGTGGGACTCACCTGACACAAACTTTGTGATATTCAGCATTGCCACCATTTTTTTCAATGCATCGATGTTCAACTCGCAGTTTCCTGGTTGTAATCTGCTTATTTGTGGAGATGAGCTGACCAAGATGTTCTTCATTTTGTGGTGTGACAGCTGTTCATGGCCATCCTGAACATGGCTTGTCTTTCATGTGTCTGCCACCACTGCTGAAACACACCACCCATCATCTCACTATGCTCACATGGTCTCCAGATCATGTTTGGTCTCCGGAAACATTCAGCAAGTGTTGATGAATGTTAGTGAGTGTTATTTTTTTCCACATGGGGGCATTCACTGACACACCTTTGCTTCATGCTCACTTCCGTATTGGATGCCATTTTGTCTGACTGCTCCTCTGCTGCCCATTGTCACATATCAACAAAATGTAATGGGATGTTGGTGGGAAGGTTCAACTCCTACTGCCATATCACCAACATTCATCTCTGATGGCCTCTGATCGTGGACCAATATAATAAAGGATGAGACATTACCTTGATGAGCTTTCTTTCCCAAGATTGTGGTGTTCCACTTGAGTTGATTTGTCTGGCAGTTAAATCTGTTCTTTCAACAAGAGAGAGTATCAAAATGTTTGGGCACTTGCATGAAACTATTCTCCAGATCACTGGCTCACCCACATACATTGCAGAAGACTAAAACAGCAAAAATCTCAAAATTAACTCTTAGGAAAACTCGTCCATACAGCGTGATTTGCATTAATATACAATTCTTCTTTGCTTACTAGTTGGAGTCTGTCCTCTGAAAAAGAGCTTACTACTCAATTGCTTCCTGATGCACCATTGAAAAACACTGCACAAGAATGTATCTATTTATTCTACAGAACAAAGATCAGGCTGAGCTAGGAATTGTGTTCCAGTTGCCTGGTATGAAGCAGCATAGGAGCAATGACAACATGTCAAGTCAAAAGTCTGGTGAACAATTCTGACCACCTGTTATGCCACATTGCTGGATCTTGGTTTCCTGTGTAGTCAGTGGAAATAAGTCATCTTGGTACCCAAGTTAGGCATGTAGAGAAGTCAGTCGTGCCTACTTGATGTGTTTTGACTGCTGCTCGTGAAACGTGGGAGTCTGACTTACTCCCTGCTTATTGCCCTTCAATGCCGTTGTAGAAGAGATTTCTAAGTTGGGCTCTTATGTTGGGCAGCATGAAGATGGCCCTGAGAGTCTCAGCCTTTGAAGGACTTCCTGTTGCTTTAGAGTCATAGGCAGAGTTTGCAACGTACCTCTAGTCACTAATAAAGCTGTCTTCCTTCTTCACAATGTTTGTATGGATACCTGCATTTCAGCAGTGTCACAGAGAACTCTGATGATGCTTCCAGCCAATTTATGCTGCTGGCCACAGTCTGGCTAGCCATGAACTTTGTCTGGAGAGTGGTGGTAGAACTTGAGCAAAAGGAGTCAGTCTAGATTCAACATATTGGTGCTGCTGGAGGAGGACATTAATGCGTACAGAGTCTTTCTTCTTTTGCTATAGGAAAGTCTTTTTATGCACAGCTCCCCCAAGACCAATTGAGGCTGGAAGGGTTCCCTTTTAGACTTGGGCATATAAACTCCAACAGAAGCCTGCTAGCTGATAGAATGCTTAAACAAGGTAAGTTAGGCCTAATTCATTCTTCAATCATTTCTGCAAAAGTCAGAAGAAATATTTTGCTTCTTTCATCTTTCCAGTTGAAAAGCTACTAGTGTGGCCTGCACCGTTAAAGAATTCCAGCTGCTTTTCAATTCTACCTTCCTTGTAACTCGTTTCTCTACATTCTGTCTTGGAGTGGTGAATCTTCAATTGCCACAATTTTGTTGGTGCTGACAATAAAAGGACAGTCCTCTGACAGCTCTAGGGAACCTTTAATTCATGTTACTTCTTCAGGTACTTAGCTAGCTAGCACCAAAGATGAGATGCTTGTTTCCCTTTCCCATGTTTCCCCTTTTCCAAGATAATGTTTCTGTCTTAATAATGATGGACTTTGTCACCAAACTGCCTTCTTTTCTGATCCTGGCATCAAGCTGTCGTCCTGAATGAAGATGAGTCCTAGGCTTAGATAAGCTAGGCCAGGGCCTAGTCTTGGGAGCATCCATTAGCCTCTCCAGCATTTTTAAGTCATTTAAAATTACACTTTTGCACTGTTAAGGGCGGAAAGCTCAACACATTTCCTTGTGTCCTGCTGCACACTTTCTGATTGAAATCTGGAGGAGGAGTTGAGCAGTGGTTATGTGTTTGGCAACCACAAAGGTTCTCTTATAGACCCTGCTGTGTGAGAGTGCAGATCAAGGTACAAAAGCACTCCTCTGGAGAGCTTGTTTTCTTTAGATAGGACGGCTGAGATGCATGGAGCTATTCTGTGACAGAGATTGAAATCTGTCTGCGCTGCCAAGTGTTTCTTTTTTTTTTTTTTTTTTTCCAAGCATGACTCTCTCCCACAATTTGTTCTTCACATGCAACCTGTCACTACTTGAGGTGTTCAGCTTGCTCTCTGTGCAGATAAATGGACATACCAAAAAGATGGACAAATACACTGGCACCAACACACTTTCACTTAGATCACTTCACAGTAAATATGGAAGTCCCTCTGAAGAAGCAGGAGCGTGGCAACAACTCTAATCTCAAGGTTTAGATTTTTTTTTTTTTTCAAGCAGAAGTATCAGCTGTCTGCAGTTCAAAGTGAAGGGTTGAGGGTGGGGGACTTATGCTTCCCATTTTGCTTTTAAAAAGGTCACAGTGAAAGCATGTGATTGAATATTTTGCATGGAACTGCCTATGACAAAGACAAAGACAAGGGGTTTGACAGAGTGCTATGAAAAGCAAGTGAGAGAAAAGGAGAGAAAGATCTGTGTTAGATTTTTGAGGTATATTTGAAAGAATGAAATAAAAAAATGCTTTCAAATCCTCGGGGACTTTCCAATTTATCAAGAAAGACACATTCTTCCTAATGAAAGGTTACTGACCTTCATGAATGTGACAGTTCAATTACAGCCCATTCATATGCAGAGCAGCCGTTGATAAAGGATTTAGGAAATGTGACTAGCATAGCAAAAAAAAAAAAAAAAAAAAAAAGGAAGGGGGAAGTGTCTAGAAAATTATTTTTTATTGTGGAGCAAGAAATATAAATAAGATTCAGTCAGGTAGTAGAACCTTTTCTTCTCTGGCCCAGCAACCCATTAGATTTGCTTCAGTGAACACATTGACTTTTTTCCTCTTTTTCTACTAATATTTCTGTCTTTTTAATCCTCTGAACTACTAAACCTAACAAATCATAAAGCCCTTGGGGTGCTGAGATGCAAGGTTTCAAACATTTTTTTCCTCTGACTGGCAGAGAAAGCTGGAATGTGTCCTAATGTTATTTTAAGTGCTTGACTAGTATTTAAACTCTTAAATGGATGGAAAGTTAAAGCAGCAGTGAATGCACACGCACATACATGTACCCCCCCTTCCTTTTCCTTCCACCTTCTCCTCCCCCTGTTTCCCCCCACACACTGAGTTTGGCCTCTCCAAGGCTGTTAATAGCCAAAGCAGATATTGGCTAGACTCTCTGGAGCCAGCCTTCAGCCAATGGAGGGTGACACCTGTGAGCTGATGTTTGTTGAACTCCTCCAGGTGTAGGAAAGATGCTTAAATTGACATAAGGCAGGAGCTGTAAAAACAGGCAAGTATGTCATTCGTACATAGAGCTCTGTGGAAGATCCCAAGGCCAAGTCATTGCAAAACAACTAGACAGAAAGAAAAATGTTTCACTTGCTTTGAAATAATTCCAAAATATCTGTTTATCTATCTACACGCGTACACACACTCATGGGTCCAGGCCTATGTGCACACGAAGTATTCCTGCAAAATAATGCATGTCCCTGCATACACAAGTACAAACCAATCTTGTACTTCAAGGTGATGGCAAACAGAGGGTTGTGAAGGTAGATGAGGACAATCCTTTGCTTAGTGTAAACTCACACAGGTGGCCCCAGAAGGAGTGGCTGTGGCTGAAGTTTACTGCTGACCTGTATTTATGTTAGGTCATGATTGTCTTCTACAGAGCAGCAAGCTGTATTCTTGATTTGAGGCAAGTGCTCAAATCCAAGTGCAATCAAATGAGTGTAAAGAAGTGCTAAAAATGTCTGTGGAAGGGAGAGCCAGAAGACATTTCCTTGACCTCTGCTCAGTATCTGTGAAATGGCTTGCTTGTTTCTGAGAAATTAGAAGCTTGGTTAATTTGCTCTACCTCCACCCAGCTGAAATTTTCCACAGTTTTCAGGCTGGGTAGGACTTCAGCAACTGCGACTGAGATCTTTTCTCTTGGGAGTAGGGCAAGCATGGGGGTAGTGCACAGTATTTTCTGCTTCTACTATGGCTAGTTACAAATTCTGGGAAACAAGAACCTCTCTCAGTGCTTTAATTCACTGCATTAGGTGCCCATCTTCCCTGACTGCTTGCTGATTTTCAAAACCTATCCCTGGTGGATATTTTGAGCACCCTGCTGAAGACTGGGTAAGTTCTCAGAGGGGCATGTTCTTGAGGTCAGGAGGCTTTTCATCAGTAATCATCCATTAGTGCTCACTTTCAGCCTCTGTTACCTCATTTAGGCAACAAATGATCATTAGGTTTAGGTGATCATTGTAGAGGAAAGAACACTTCCTTGTCCTTAGTCTAATTTTAGATCAAGGGCTGGCATGGAATTTGCTTTGGCAGCTTAGAGTGATAATGTCTCATAGTAGGGTATACAAATAAAGTAATCAATCTGTCTTTATTGGTTCTTTCAGATAACTTTGAAATGCATAATTGTAGGGTATTGAATTATGGAAATCATGGTAGAAATTACTGGGATCCCCTTGGAATGGTCACATTCTCACTTCTCTTTCAAGCAGAAGTTCATCTGATCAAAAGGCATTTTAGGGCAGCTTGCTTTATTCTCCCTTTTGTTCAACACATACCTGAGACATTCAGGAGGGTTTTAGAAGGCCTTAGGAGAAATGAACCCAATACATTCCAGAAAGATGTGTTCCCCAAAAGCAGGTAGGTGCAATGCAACAGGCAACCCAGTGCCTATTTTGGACACCCTGATGGGTTTTTTTTTGTATGCTGCTTGTTCTATTGAACAAGAAGCTGGCCAGGCTCTGAGAGATGACCATCTCTTAGCCTTCAGCTGCCTCATAGCTCAACATAGAACCAAGGCCCTTTGGCCACAGGAGAGGAGCTTCCTATAACATGCTCAGCTTGCTTTTAATCTTGAAAATAAAAACAAGATAAAGGAATTGAAAATACTGACATTTCAAAGGCCAGAAAACCTCTTTCAGATTCACTGTAGATAGGGTCCCAGTCCAGCAGAACATTTAAACACTAGAAATTACTTTTGCTGAACTGAGGACTGAATCAATTATATTTAACATTGAGTACAATTATGTTTAACAAAGAGTACAAGTACTAATCCAAGTACACCCTATAAAATTCTATGTGTCATCCCTCAAATATGTTTTCTGCAACCTGCTGCAGTGTATTTGGATTATGATGTGATATAAAGAGTTTACTGGAATTCATCTGGGCTAACCACTCTGCAGTGTTTTGTCTTTGTCTCTTGTAGATAATGCATGCCATCGAGGCTTTTTTTTTTCTTTCTTCATAAGACTCACAAAAAAGACTATAAAAAACATGGCACAAAATATCTTTACTGTCTTTAAAAATAGGGCTTACTTTCCATGATTAGTAAAATATATCTAATTTAATTTCATTGGCCAGTGGGCAATTTGATCAACGCTGATTTTCAGATCAACACTAGATTTAGATTTTTAGGTCAACACTCATTTTTAGATATCTTTATTGTCATGGAGATTTCAATATTCAGATTCAATAAAAACCATCTTTACTGAATGCAAAATAATAATTATCGGTAGCAACATCATGAGAACATTTCTGATCATGTTTGCTTTGGTTAAAAACATCGCCTTTGTTTTCTGCTTGCATTTAATTGGCAGGGTGCCTTTAAAGTTTGCTCTTGGCCCTGAGACTTGAAAGTGCAGTCAGGCATGTGGCTGAGAGCAGTGCTAATAGGCAGCCTGCATAACCTCACCAGCTAAAGCTCACAGGCTATGAAGGGGTTGTTCAGCAGGGGAAAAACAGAACCCGCTGCCGCTCAAGCTAGCATGAACTTTACATACTGCATGCCTTACTGATTGATTAAAAATGTAGTCATCCTTAAAGACAAATCACCTAAGGACTTACAGTAAGTCACAAACAGAAAGATGGTTTTATGGAGCATACTTTTACGTAACGGGCTCTTCCAGGACGAGGGCTTTGTTTGCAAAGTCAGTGAAAGTTGGTTGGCGACTCTTGTTAGCTTGCTGGTTGAGGCAGGTTCTCAGGAATCAGCTCACGTGGAACCCAAACTGCACCTGAGCAAACATCGGAAGGTGGGGAAAGAATTGCTTTCAGTTTGCAGCCACAAAAGTTGAAGTGACTTATGCATGTACCAGTGGGGAAAACTTTCTCTCGTGGCAGATTGTTTGATAAGATAGGGCAGGAATTAATTTTAATGGGGCTAGTAATTAATATTTACTACATGGCTGCCCCCTTTCTAGCTGGATTTAAAATGTATCTGGAACAGTAAAATGAATCAAACCCTCAGTTGCTCTGACACTGTCAGCTGCTATGAGATGATATACAGGAAAGGCTGATATATTTGTGTACATTGTGTACCTGACTGCCCACATGCTTTTTATGGTAGACTTAACAGTATGTAGCTACAGTTTCAGCTCAGCATGAAGAGCATCAGGGACAGAAGAGCAGGTCAGCATGCAAAAGCACATCAGAGGCCGGCAAAACAGCCTCTGAAAGAGTATTCAACCCATCCCATCGACAATTAGTCACTGGATCAAAAACTCAGCTGATTTTCTTGCATGAAGTAAGAAGAAAAAAAATTCCAATTCTAAGCAAATGTGATACTACCAGTGTGTGCTAGCTGCCCTCTTTCTGTTTAGGCAGATTTCAGTGTGGATGTAAATTCTTTCAGGTGCAGCTAATTAGAACTGTGCTGAAGAAGGAAAAGGCACAGTGAGTGCATGTATTATCTGTCTGGCCTTGTGAATATTTTACGTGTGAGGGTAGAGACCACACTGTCTATAGTCTTACACGTATTGATACTAAGAACCAGACCCAAACAGGCAATGTTGGCTCATTTCCAGAAACTGTTACAACTGTACGTGTATATATCAAGCTGAAGTATTTAAAATGACTCCAACTCTGGTGTATCAAAGTGTCTAGAAAACACATTTCTTCAAAAGAGCCTTTTCTACTTTGGAAAAAGCAAGAAAAATAGTAACAGGCAAGATATATTACAAAATCTGGGCCTCCGTCCAGGAAAAGCGCAAGTTTCCAAGATCCTCACATTTTTACATTATGGCTTATATTGAGGTCAAATCTTTTTAAGGTGCACATTTTTCTACTGGGTACTTGAAGAGGAAACAATGTGTGTTCATTTCCGTTCTGTTTCTTTATACTGCGTAAAGGAATCCTGTGCCATTTGTTTTTTAAAAGATTGTTTTCCTGTAAGGTTCTCCTCTTGTCTCCTGGTTTGCACTGCACCAGGGCTGAGGATTGCAGATCCCTCCTTCAGGAGGAAGGATACTGAAACATGAGCAGACTTTCTCCAACAATTTTTTTAGCAATCAAAGAAAGCCTGTGAACACTTGAAACTTTTGAATCTTTGATCATTTAAAATGGGTTTTGCTTTCATTATCACTCTTAACAGTTTTCCAGTCCTCCACAGGTCTGGAATGAGACAATGAAAGCATGTAATTGCGACTGTCTGAAAAGACACTGGGAGAATAAATGCCTTAAAAATAATATTAATAGAGAAAAAACGAAAAGCTGAAAAAAAATCCAATCTTTTTTTAATAGCATTTAAAGATTTTTGTAAGATAAAGAAAAATCTCTTTAGTGAGTTCAGCAGTTCATCTCTTCTGGGTGCAGTGATGGAATGCTCTGCTCTTGGTACCATTCCCTTAGAGAGCAAACTGGCACTGGCACAGATTAGCACTGAGGGTTGCTTTGTTGTTCCTCTCCTGGGTTCTCTTGAGGGCATTGCTGGGATGGCTCCAGCTCAGGACAGTGTTCAGCCTACCAGGCAGCCGGTCCTGTCCTACTGCTTTGTGCCAGGTGAGAGTTGTAGCAGATATGTTACATATTGCTGTCTGCCCTTGGCCTCACTCTGTACACTCTGATGAAAATCCTTTCCACTTATCCACCTGCCTGCCACAGTTAATCCTATGCAGCCATTCTTTTTAATACTGCATGTGGATACATGCAAAATTCATTACTAAGATGCCTTGTTCAGGTTTATCTTACTTCCTATTTGCCTTTGAATGTGAGGAGCCCCAGGGATTTCATATTGTGGCACATACTGACCATTTAGTGAAGCTATTAAGAAAAGAGAGGCAAGATACGGTGATGCATCATCTCTTGCTAGCCAGTCAGCTACATAGTTTAACAATGATGCTATTCTACTTTTTTCTTTGCTTGATTCATGTTTTTCATGAATCATTGACAGAGCTGGTATCAATCTCATGCAAAAAGGTAACAGGTTCCAGTGTCTGCTTTATTATATGCTGGTAGCACGTACATCCGTTGCACAGACTTTGCCTGGATGGAGATACTGTTTTGACATTTGCCCATACTGACAGTCTGACAGATGGAGAATATGTTAGATCTACCATGTATGTGCTGTGCAGATGCCCCTAAGTCCATCCTGAGTTCATCCAACCTGCTGTCTGTGCGGGTTGGCTGTTGTCTCAGTGCAGCTGTATTGGCCAGCCTTGGCATGAGAAGTGCTGAGCAGGGCTCCATGGTGTGCTTAGGGCAGTTGGACATCTGCAGCCCTGGTGAGAACCATGTTACTGCTCCTGCTTGGACCTGTCTGTAGGGCAGCCAGCGTGCCCAGGCAAATGCCTCAACACTTATTTTCCACTGGATTCCCAGACAGATAAAAGCAGGTTTAGGAAATCTTCTCCTGTGCAGTTGTGG